GGCCTTAGGGGTGTCCGTTCGGTTTTCGGTTTGGATTTAGTCCAAATCCGATCCAATCCGAAATATAATTCAGTTTTCAATTTTCCAATCCGATCCGATCCGAATTTCTCTCTTGATCCAATCCGAATTAAAATTCGGTTATTTGGATCCGATCCGAAAATCCGAATTATAATACATTATTTTTTAGCGCCTAATACAATTATAAAAATAAAGCTTTACTATAAATAAAAGTCTTCAAAATCATGATTAAAATAAATATTTCAATGTCAAGTCATTAATTAATTAATACAAAGTCTCTCTAATTTATTTTATGTAGTAGTAAGTATTTGAGCTAAACTTCAAAATATACAGAAATCCATATTTATACAAACTTAATTTTATAATTCGGTTTTCGGTTGGATTGGATCCAATTAGGGTCAATCCGATCCAATCCGAAAATTTGAATTTCCAAAAAATCTAAATCCGATCGGATCCAATTTAAAGTTTGGATCCGATCCGAATTGATAATTCGGTTTGGATTGGATTGAATTTCGGTTTTTATCCGAATTATGGATACCCCTACTCGGCCTTGAGCTTCTGGCTCTGTTATCTGGAAGCTCTCAGTTCTTCTCGCAATTGCTCGATTATTGCGTTCACATTTAGATCTTGATCTTCTTCCATGATGGAGGGTAAAACAAATTACCTAACTGTATCCCCACAGACGGCGCCAAAATGTTTTGGTAAAAAAAACTGAATACCAGGTTCGACCTGGGTTTCGATAATAACAGCTAGATTAAAAAGGCAAAGGTTGCTAAATTAGGATCTAGAGAACGAATGAAAGGAGAGGGGAAGAAGACACACGAGTTGATGACGCAGAAAACCCCAAGAATAAGGGTAAAAATTACGGGTGGCAATGAGTCCACCAATCCACTAAGTAATTTGGTTGAACAGATTACAATGTAGGTTACAGATTGTTGATTTAATGATAATATTGCGGCTATAATACTAGGATTAAGCTTAGTAGTAAGGCTCTTATATTTTTTGTGATGCCTTTTACAATGAACATACACCTATTTATAACCTATGAAAATATTCAAAGAACCCTTAACGGTTATTTCCCTCAATCCCTAGGAATCCGGAGTGGAGGGCCAAAGTCGTTCCTATTTTCTCTCCACGTCTCCAGGTCTATTGCTTCCAAGTTTGAATTGGTATACTTCAACGGCTGGACTGCTGGAAGTGGTTCCTATTTCCTTGGAAGGAATCTTGGAATCTTTTCTACTCGAGGATTCTTAGGAATATTGTTTGGGAATATATTCAACCTGCTTGGTACCTGAGTGCTAGCTATGCAGCTATCATCAACCAATATCACACTAACCTGTAACCTGGCTTCCTGTAGAACATAAGAATTTGGGATGAAAATTCTAGCACAACACTTTCCCAACCTTAAACATCATGAGATTGATTCATGACTGTATAAGACTAAAACATTCAATGAGAAGCTTAACTTATACGGGAATCTCACTTTTCTCAAGATAATATCAATTGTATCACATTCTGGCAGCAACCTAGCAAGAAAATAATTCTTATTGAAAGGATAGAAAGATGTGTTTTCCATGATATAACCTCCAATTTCCGAACTTTAACAATTACAACAACAATATATAAAAGAGCAAAAACACACCCAAACAAACATAAATTGTTTTTTTAAGATTCTAGATACCTACCGATGGAGGATAGGTGCACATTATAGCGTTCTTTACCTTTCTGTACATGATTAGCTGCTGGTATGGATGATATAAGCTTATAACTAGTTCTTAGGCAAAAAAGAGAAATCAAACAAACAAACTAACTGATTTTATGACATTGTTAAAACAATCATATAAAGATTTTATGCCTTTGGTCACAACAAAGTAATTACTTATTCAACAAGTTTGGTCACAACAAAATCAATTCACCAATGCATATAAACATTAATCCATTGGCCATAGAAAACTAATTACTTAACTAACAACTTTATGGACAACAAATTCACTTGACAACTTAATGAAATTTACAAACACTAACCAAATCTAACAACAAACTAATTACTAAGGGCTTGTTTGGCATCATTTTTGGTTTTCTGTTTCCTGTATTTTTGAAAACTAAAAACCAAAAACAAGAAACAAGGAAAAGGTGTTTCCACTTTTCTGTTGTCAGTTTTCAAAATTATCATGATTTAATTTTAATAAGTCTATATAATTTTTTATTCATTATGTGACATATATAATATACTTTTAAAAAACAAAAAACCAAAAAAAAAAAAAAAAAACCACAGCGATGCCAAATAAAACCCTAACTAAAAACTTTATGGACAACAAATTCACTTGACAACTTAATGAAATTTACAAACAATAACCAAATCTAACCAAACAAGCTTCACTTATAACTCATATTAACAAAATTTAACCACAAAATTCAGTAGTCAAAGATATTCATTTAGGAGCATATACTTACTAACATTTATTCATTTACTTCCTCACAGGCCCGTCCCTAAGGCAGGGCAATAGGTGTCATCGCCCTGGGCCTAACTGAAGGAGGCTAAATTTACAATAAAGCCAGATTTATAAAAAAAAAAAATTAAAAAAAATGAAAATATCTTAATTAATGATACTACCTACGCATGCTTTTTCTCCGATTTTCCATATCATGTTCATCATTTCATATTCCCAATTCCCAAATCTCAAGTTCTTAACTTCCAATTCCTTTATTCATTCCTAATTAATTTTCCAAAAATATTTGGGAAATTCTCAATGGTACTCATCAGCTTTTCTTTTTTTCTCAATGGTAAACACTTTAATATTAAATTATCTTTGGTAATCTATAATTTCTAAAACTAATCTAATGGTAACATTAGTTAAGTATTTTACACAAATGTTAACCATGGTTAATGTTTAAAATGGAGAGAAGTGAAATGCCTAAAATACCCCTATTTAAGAAAAAATCCACCACACACTTCTTCCCCCCCCCCCCTCCCCCACACCAGCCCAACCCCTGCCTACCCACGACCCCGGCACCGGCACTAACCTCACCGGGCATTCCCTCTCTTTTTCGCGGCGCTGACGTTTCTATCACCACCTTGACCATCACCCTTCCCGTTCAGCCGAAACCACCACCCAATTTCCCTGCTGTTAGCCGAAACCCTATAAACCCATTAGCCTAAATCGAATTCAAAAGAGATTTGAGCTCAAAAGAGTTGGAATCTGAATTTATGTGCCAGATTTGAAGGTAATCGGAGGAATTATTCAAGTAGCGAGATGATCGAGTTTTGAGCAATCAAGTTGAACGACGACGCGGTTTTGGGAGTGTTCACAGAGGGAGGCAATTGCGAGATGGTTTCGGGTAGGGGATTGTGGGTTTTAGGGTTAGTCGGTTTTAGTCGGCGTGGGGTTGGTCAGATAATGGAGTGGAATATGAGGGGGATGCATGGAAAGGGGAATAGGTAGTTGGGTCGCCCGACAAGGGGAGGGGGATTGGGTGATTGGGATCAGCGGGCGGCACCGGCATAGGCTGTTTTAAGGAGTTTCTGGTGTCGCGACATGGGAACAGGGAGGAGAATCGGCGCCGACGCCGAAGCAGGGTGGTCTGTCACGACCGGCGCTGGGGGGACAGGGGTGGTTGGGGCTAGTAGAGTGGCAGCTGGCAGGGGAGTGACTGGGGATGTTGTGATATATTTTTAAAAAATAATTAATTATTAAAAAATACACAAAACTAACCATGGTTAATAAATGATTAAATTGATTAACTAATATCACCATTGAATTAATAACGAAAATACATGAATACCAAAGATAATTAAAGTTTTTGTTGTTTACCAAAGAGAAAATTACGATTATTCAACTTCACTTCCTAATTAATCTCTTCTCAGTCAAAATCAATTGATATTTTCTTCCCCTTTTATTTATTTATTTTTGTTGTAATTTTCAACCACATTAATCTCCTAAAACATGTATTGAGAAAAATATGTTAGAGCATATTGATGTCAACACTATTATTGGTGGTTTTGCATCTAGAAATGCTACAATGTTTTGTATGATGATTTGGATAATAAATTTTAAGTTTACTTTTTTTTTCTTTACTGTAAGTTTGCAAACTTTTTTTTTTATCATTTAAAAAACAAGTTTATTTTTCATATTTTTACTTCACTCGATAATAAGGGCCTAATTTTTCATTTCGCCCATAGGCCACCAAAAAGCTAGGAACGGGCTGCTTCCTCATATCTAACAAAAATCATAAAAACACTTACTGAAACCTTATATCAATTACTAACACAAACCTTAAATCCTTAAATCAATGCTTTATTCAAACCTTTAATCAGTAAAACTGTCAAACACTTAATTCCTACTCGTATTAAAATCTTAAGCCCAATAACAAATATCCAACTATACTTACATACGCCATTATATACTTGGATTCAACAATAAACAAAATTTATATACTTATTCAAAGATAAAATCCTTCACCTAACCGCAAATTCATGGTCGAACTGGTCTAATAAAAGGAATCAATGTATATCTATAACTAAAAACCTATATATCATCTTTTCTCTCTCCTCCTTTCTCTCTCCAAAAACCCTAGCCTCCATTATTGATTTTTGAAGGGGCTCCCATCGATTTTAATCGGTGGAAAGCCTCAATCCTTGTTTCTTTATTGTTTTTTAGGTTTATAATAATGCTTCCTCCTTTTGGGAGGAGCTTTTCTCCCTCGAAAGAAAGAGTTTCCGATCTCCTTCGAAAGACAAGGGTTTTTCGACCTCCTTCGAAAGACAAGGTTTATCTCTTCTTTACGAAGGAGAAATTTCTTAGTTTTGAATTCATGGTAGCAGATCTAATGGATTGTCATGAAATTATTTTGCTGGTGAAAAAGTTAACAAGTTTTCGAATACGGACAGATGAATCAGAAGGAAAACATCCTCACGGCTACAAAGGATCGTAAGATTGTCTCTCCATTAAGGCTGTAATTTTCAGCGATATAAGCGGGAGATGCTCCGCAGCGCAAGATTTACTCGACGATCGTAGTTTTTATGAAGGGAAATTCTATTTGATTCAATATCTTATGTATTTGTTAACGTCGAATCTCTATTGTAGATGTCGTATGACTTTTAATTAATGACATATTTTTTCTATTAAAAAAAACTAATAACCTATATAAAAGACCCAAGCACCCTTACTATTCCTATGAACAAAAAATTGACGCTACTGCCCTCCCCTGCCCTTAGCACCCTTCCCAGATTGAAAGGGGTAGTTTGGTCTATTCGGGTTGCCCATTTTCTCTCCTGCTTTTGCTCCTCTCATCCTCAGTTCCTCACTCTTCTCCTAAGAATCCTCAAATTTCTCTCTCTCTCTCTCTCCTCCATTGAAGCTCACTCTGAGTTCTCCATTAAAGCGCACTCTAAGTTCTCCATTGAAGCCTAATTTGAGTTTTCTTTCCTCCATTGAATCAGTTTCTGAGGTATAATGTTTTTTCTTTTTTCGTTTTTTCAATAATCTTATATAATTTTCACCATCTAGCGTTTAATTTCACTCTATCGTTGATTTAGTCAAATTAAGGTTCTTCTTAGGTGGATTTCATGTAATTTTTGGACTGTTTTTGATGAAAGAGTAGTGAAACTCTGATGAATTTGGGTTGTTTGTGAATTTTCTCTTTCATTGATTTTTACTTTCAATTCGATTTTTTTTTTCCAGATTTTATTTGCTGGTGAAATAATGTCTTCCCTTTTTTCTATGATCTGGAATTGATTTATTTATAGGTATAGGGTTTTAAAATTCGTTTGGTTTATTAATTCCAGAAATCGAGCTTTCTTTAACTTGAATTTTCCGCGAAGTCTGCTAATGTTTCCGGCGAAGGAAAGGATGCTTGGGTTTTCGATGGTGTTGAACACTTCTCTTTAATTTACGTTATTATGAGCATGGATATGGGTGAGATTTTCTGTATTTTTTGCAATTAAATTGATTGTTTGTTTTATTTTAGTTTAATTAATTGGAATTTGGTATAATTTGATTTCATGATTATCGTTGTTATATTGTCATTAATTTCTTTAATCAAGTTGTCAAGGGTCAACTCAGGAATTAATCTCTCTAAATTGATTAGTTATAATTTAGTCATTGGTCTTAGTGATTGGGAAATATTTGTATTAGCTTCATATCTCTGCTTATTGTTTCTTGGGGAAGATAGAGCAAATGGAGATGGAGCTCGAACAAAGTAGGAAGGTAAAGTTTTGTTTTCTGTTTTTCCTTACCGGAATGACATGACATATTATTTACCTATTTGTATCTTTTACTCTTCCAGGAAGTTCAAAAGTACCATGACATGTATGTTTTTGAGCAAGAAGAGAAATTGGGTTTAGATGTTGAGCTCCAAGATTGCAAGGTATCTTATCACTGTCCTGAAAAGCTTCGAGGAAAGGAAATGGTATTGGTTCAAAATCTCTTATTCATGCACTAAACTTTAGCACCAATTCTAATCTAAGTCTGCTAATGAAGCCTGTTCTTCACAGCACTATAAAAAATAATAAAAAATGAACCGAAGAAGATTGAATAAGTCTTGAAGCAAAGTAACAGATAAAGATATTAGTCTAAGCTTTTTAGGGTTTACGAGGTGAAAGGTAATCAGACTTAATAGAATAATCAGGCTTAATTGGATACAGAAACAAATGCAACTACAATGGAAAAATTGTTGTGTATTGAATAATTATTTATTTGTTTATACAGACATCACCAAATATACTCTTCTTTAGGGATAATTCCACATTCTACCGCATTAACTACTCTTAGTTAGCGAAATAGGAAACTGTCTTTAGTCAGTCTTGAAATTTATATCAGGAAAAAACTCAGGTTATGGATTATACAGTATGCAGTAGGATGTAGGGAGTATCAAAATATGCAATATTTAAGTGCAACAAGCATTCTCAGTTGATTCAGGAAATTTGAATTGAATAGTTGATTCAATTTAGAAATTTTGAACAAATTATGCAAATGTTCAAGTGCAACTTGGAATTGAATATTCAAGTGCAACAAAGTATGCACACATTGAATCTAGATTTTGTTGGATTATAGCTCAATGTGAAAAATTTCCACATTTTTTGTTAGTTTGGGGAAGAATTACATTGAATTAGACTAAGTTATGTTGGTTTTGGAGATTCAAATGCTGGATTTTGTACTAGGAATATAATGATTAATGTATTCTTATCTTATATGTTGATGCTTAATTTGGAAGGGAGGTTGAATATTGATAGTTAACTGATTCATGTACATGTTTTTGGATGTAAGAGCAATGTATTGCTGATGCCCCCTCTTTTTGGATGTAAGAGCAATTAGAATGATTGATGGTTGAAATTAAACTATGTTTGCTTCACTATTTAACATTATTGGTTGTAAGAGCAATTAGAATGGTTGATGGTTGTTTCAGTTTTTTTTTTTGTTTTTTTTTTTTTTTATGTGAAATTGTGTTATCATATTTGAAAGTTAAAACTTTTAGTTTGGGTTTTTATAAAATAGAAAAATAGTAAACTAACCTCTTAATAGTCTTGATATATGTCACCTTCATCTCCTCGGTCGCCTCGCCTCACCTCTTCACCTCACTCCTCGCAATAACTCCTTGATGCTTTAGTTAATTTTACAGGGCTTTAGCTTTTATAGAATTTAACATAATTTGATTTTTGATATTTATTTTGTTAAATTTACAAGTTGTTTGCATATTTAAATATAGAATCTCAGCCGCGTCGGAACAGCAGCAGCTACCCAGCAATGAGCACCCCTTGCCAGGTGCCAGTGGGCCACATGTCATCAGATGAGCTGTGGTAATGTTTTTATTTATTTATAATGTTAGTGAATATCAATTTCTCAGTCCAATTGTGTCAGTATAGTCAATTTAAGCTTCTGCTATCATTTTAGCAGCTATGGTGATGGATCATCTAGGGCCAAGCGTACCGTTATTGCATGTTATTGTTGGTGAGGATGAAGCTTCTGAAGATTCAATTGTTCGGAAATTTCGTTGTAACACCTCTTGTCAAAGTTGAGGATTCAAGGACTCTGGATGTAGCATATGATATGGACCTGAGTTTCTTGGCAGGACCAGCTAATCGAGGTATGTTTGGATTTTCATTGATATGCTGATGCGTACATCATTTTGGTGAGAGGGCTGCCCAGTTTATCTCTTTGATTGCTGGAGTTTGTTAATCTTGAGAGACAAGTCAGCATTTGAGCTTAGTCAGGTCAGGACAAGTACACGATGGCAAACGGAAATGGCCACATTGGAAAGCCACATGTTAACGTCCCCAAATAACGTCAAGTAGACGACATTAAGTTTCAGGAATCAGAAATTTTAATTTGTAGCAGCAAATTTATTGAAGGTAGTTGGTGGTTTACGTCCTTCAAATTGTAGCCTGTGTGCTTCATTTTTTTTACCATCAAGTCGGAAGGTAGAGGGAGTTGATTCTCGTATTTGATTCTGATGAATTAACGAATCTGCTTGGGAACTCTTAACACATTTGAAGGTGTGTTTAAGGTTAGTGGTGTGTGTTTAATTAAAACTCTTGTAGCAAACTATCGATCACGTGCAAATTTTATAATAGTGTATGATATAAATTTTTGGTTTATGGTATCAAACATTAGCGATTGATGTTGAACATATATTGCCTTTACTACTTACCATGGTGTTAAATTCTCCTTAAAATTTGTTGATATGGTATCATTTGTATTGAGTGTAATGCCTCCAATTTGTTTTTTTTTGTAAATTTATATTAAATTTTGTATTTTGGTTTTTTTTTTTTTTTTTTTTTTTTTTTTTTTTTTTTTTTTGTGTGGAAAAGATTTATAAAATAAATTTGCATTAAGTCGAATGCCAATGAAAATATGGAAATAAAGTTCAAATTTTAAAATCAAACATTGAAGCAAATAGTAAGGCGGTACTAGATTTTATTATGTTCCACCCCATTCATAAATCGAATTAATTGCATAGTCGTGATTGTTTCAAAGGCCCAGATCCACCTTAGAAACTTAGAAGAATAACTTAATAGCTAGTCTAGTACTTAATGTGTAAATCTTATTATTTTAAAATACAAACTCTATTTGTAACATGATTAACCTTTTAATCAGTCTGGAAATACAACAACCATGTCATGTAAATTATTCTTGTTATTATTAAAACATTTAAAGATACAAACAAACTCAGAAAAGAGACAAAATAGTTTATCCAGTAACCGCTCCAATACTATTACTACACCAACCAGTACTCAATTGTAAACTAACGCTAAATGTACAGATAGTATAATAATGTCACACATATGATGCAGGTTTTGTTGAGATATACGGAAGGTTGTTATTATGGATAACGATTTTGAAGGTGGGTCTGGAGGTGACCATGTCACTGTCTCCACTGACATTGATGAGGTGGTCCAAGAGGGTGATCGTCTAAACACACCAATGGGGTCTGATAACCAAAACTGTCCACAAAATGTAACCCCAAGCGTAGGGGTGTCAACGGGGCGGGGCGGGGCGGATTTTGGCATTCCCATCCCCATCCCCGCCTCACATTTTCATCCCCATTCCCATCCCCATCCCCATGTCGGGTCTGAAAATAATCCCCGTCCCCGCCCCGGCGGGTCCAACTCTAAAACCACCCCCGCCCCATCCCCGTCCCCGCCCCATACCCGCCAAACCCCACCCCATACCCGCCAAACCCCCGCCCCATCCCCGCCAATTCCCCGCCCCATACCCGCCAACTAAGTATTGAGAAAAGCAACTGTCTTTCAAGTTTCAAGTGTCAACTGAAACCCTGCAGACTCCATAGTAGACTAATGAAAAAGTAGCAGTGCATACAAATCCCATTAACTCAAATCCAACAAAAACCACTGCAAGATCAACCATTTTAAAAATAACCATTTTAAAAAAAAAAAACACTAACTCCAAATTGTCCAAAGTCCAAATATTAAAAATAACTACAAGTCTACAAATATTCAAATACATAACAAGAAATTCATTAGGCCTTGAATTATTCGGTGCAAAGTCCACTTGTTCCAGAATCGATATCACATGTTTCAAATCCTTCCTCTAATTCTCCCACTAATTTAGCATATTCATCATCCTTAAATTCTCCACAATCTGCAAATACAATGTGAATTAATTAAAATAAATAAATAAATAATATTATTAATCAAATAAAATTTTATTTTAGCTATTTACTTTTAGAAGCAGCCCATATCCAATTTTGAGTACACATCAAAGCTTCTACAGCTTCCGGTAAAAGCCGACTACGATAAGGATTAAGAACCCGACCACTTGTGCTAAATGCGGACTCTGATGCAACAGTAGAAACAGGAATGCTCAATATATCTCGTGCTATTTGCTGAAGAATGGGATATGTGCCTCCATTTGTCTTCCACCAGTTAAGAATATCAAAATCTTGGACTAGAGGCACATTAGCAGCATCTAAATACTTATCCAAATCTGATATATCATGACTTGAGTCCTTATCTTGTTGTAAAAATTCAGCAAATTCTTGCATAAAGGTCTCTTCATTGGATTTGCTACTACTACCCAAATCAAAATCTTGTTGGTTGCTACTACCTTGAGTTTTACCCATCTTAGACCCATATTCATCAACCAATCTTCGTAGAAGATCACTAATTCTACGAACCTCAATTTCAAAGTCATGCTCATCAAAAATTTTTGCAAAATAAAAGCGAATAAGAGCCATTTTGTATCTAGGATCTAGTATTGTTGCCACTCCCATTAAGCCATTCACACTAGCCCAATACTTGTTATATTTTTGTAACATAATGTCGGCCATTTTCCTTACATAATCATGAGGAGATAAAAGCCAACCAGAAATAGCAATTCTCAAAGCACAAATTTTAGGAAAATAAAGATTGGCCGTAGGGTAATTTGTTCCTGAAAAACTAAGGGTAGTTTTACTAAACACTTCCAAATGTTCACATATTTTCTCAACTTTTTCCCAATCTTCAGGGGTCGGTGGATTCTTATATAAATTATTACGAGCACTTAAAACAACAAACACTTCTTTATAACTAGTAGCAATAGAAAGCATTTCATAAGTAGAATTCCACCGGGTTTTGCAATCAAGTGCTAACTTTCTACTACACTCAGGAGTTATTTGCTTAGCCACTTGTTCAAACCTTTGTACTCTCTTATCAGAAGCAGTCCAAAACACAACACTATCCCTAATTCTTTGAACACCATTTGATACCACAGCACTTAAACCATCTTGAACAATCAAATTTAATATGTGAGCACAACAACGCATATGAAAAAAATCACCTCGCAATAAAAGTGAGCCATATGGAAACACTCCTTTCAAAATTTCCATCATTGCATCATTAGTTGAACAATTATCCACGGTTATAGAAGACAACCTAAGATCAAGATTCCATGATTGAATGCTTTCTTTCAAAGCATCAGCAAGAACCTCAGCAGTATGAGGGGCGGGGACATATAAAAACCTACCAAAACCAATGAAAATAACATATATTATTTGTCTATTCAATACTATTGTGGATATATGGGCTCATTATTATCATCCATCATCACAACTTATAATTCTTATGATTTTAAAATTCACACAAAAAACTATAGCAATACAAAGACAACCAAAAAAAAATAAACAAGTTATAAGTAACCAGAAAACAATACCTTATGATCCGACTTTGCAACTTCCATGTATTATCAATAAAATGTGAGGTGACCGCCATATAACCTTTTCTCTGGTTGTCAGCTGTCCACATGTCAGTAGTTAAGGCAATCTTACCCTTTGCTTTCCTCAACAAGGTTGCAACATTCTCCTTCTCAAGCTCATATCTTTTCATAATATCTTTTCTAGTTGTGTTGCGAGACGGCACTTTAAATCCAGGTTGGAGTGTGTTGCTATATTTTCTAAAACCAATATGCTCAACCATGCTAATTGGATACTCATGCAAAATAATCATCTCTGCCAAGTCTCTTCTTCCATCTTCTTGGTGGAATTCGTAAGGAGCCAATGTCATCGTGTCATTCTTATCATTCAAGTTTTTTTTTGTACCAAACATTCTTGTTTGTCGAAGATCTTGACATACTCTCTTTGGACATATTTTTATATGATCTTTCAAATGAGTAGTTCCTGCTTTTGACCCACCAGCAAGTAGCTTGGAGCAATGGTTGCACTCAGCTTTTATCACATCCCCAACTCTCTTTCTCTTAAAATCAGACCACACTGCCGAAGTATGCCTACTAGTAATTGGTAGGAGAGAAGGATCGGAATTAGTCTCTAGAGGACTTTCATCATCATCTATTGCAATTGGAGTATTACTAGCGGAAGTGGGAACACTAGCGTTATTTGACATCTCAGACAAATTCTCCCCTGTAAAAATTAAATAAAGACAATTAATGCACTAGACATATTGACTACAGTATTGAACACATTTGACATCTCAGAAACAGCAATAATAAATTAATAATAGCAAATTAGCAATGCACAGCAGCAAAGGCAGATCATGCTTCTAGCACAGCTATCGGAAGATATCATGTTGAAAGGCCTATCAATGCATAATGTCATACTGTAACTGCTATGTTAATATATTGTTGCTGCTGCATAACCAGTTAACCACCTATCACACTAAGTCACTAACCACTACATACAGGATACAACACAAATTTATAGCCACTGAGCCACATAGATACAAACACAAACGCTCACACACACCATGCATCATTCATAGGCTAATAGCCAGTCATTTTCAATTCAAATATAGTAAAAAATCAGTATATATATTTTGAACTACAATACAAATTCATCCCCACTTAATTATATACAAAGTGTGTTAAGTTAGTGTGTACTACAGAGATTGATCTTAGTAAATGAATTAAATAAAAAAAAAAGTAACTAAATCTATAATGATCGAATAAGTGGTCAAATGACATAATCCGAATTTAGTTATCACACATAAGCTAAAATAATAAACATAAACTTATAAGTCTGAAATTAATGAGAAAAACTAATTACAATCTATACATATTTCGACTTTATTATATCTATTTTGTGAAATTAAATATAAAAAAACAAGTAATGAAAATTCTAGATTAAAACCCTAATAAACTAAAAAATTTGGAGGTCATCATATTCATACATTATCATACAAAAAATAACAGTAATCAACACGAAAAAATTTGATTTTTTCTTTCCTAATAGTTTCACTAGAACAATTTCTGGGAAACGGGGCAAAGGGTAACCACTCACTCACCGTCTCTTAAACGAATAATTCACCACCAACAATCAGTGTTCTAGCAAATTAATCACCTCCATATAGATCAAAGCAAACCACTAATTAAAACCCAAAAAGGGCTACAAATCCTAATTCATGCAGTCTTTAAACAGCATTAAACCATTAATCATTCTTATCTTTGTACATTATTCAGTCAAAATCATATTTTCCAGGACCAATTAATGACTCTTTTAGCTAAATTGAAAACTAATGAAAAGTACTCATTCTGAATACTTTTTCTGATCAAAATTTGACCAGCACATACGAATTGAAACAAGAAACTCAGCTTACAATCACAACAACACCACACAAATGCAACAATTAGGAGTGTTTCAAGAATGAACCAAACCAAATTACAAATTAAAGTCACACCGAACAGAAATCAACGGCAACAAATGTTCTAATTTATAGCAAAGTACTAATGTAAAATTGTTAGAATGGTAATTTAAGGAGGT